ACACGATTTTAAAAAATCGAATTAATTCTATTTATTGTTTGTTTGTGGTCGAGGCCTCCTGTTTGTTTGTTTTTTATTTCATTTTGAGAAATAAGGGAGTGTAGAACACTGACACACACACACACACACACACACGCCTTATTTGTCCTGTGTGAACTAGAGGCCTTCAACCCTTACACACACACACACACACACACAGGCAAAAACAGAAAAAGCTCCATGTTGTTTTTTCCTTTTTTATTATTCATATATGTATATGCTACTAAGTTGTATTCACAAATGTAATTAATATGATTAATATGTTTATATTGACTCCACCTAATTCCACTAAAGTATTTTCCATAAATTAAAAATAATAAAAGTCCTCTCACAGACGTGTCGTTTGAGGACGTCATAAAGCCCCGTGATGAAGCTGTTTCCCCCAAAGTTCAAACATCGATCGACCCGTTCAATATATCGATTGTCGATCACTTCATTCTCACTCGCCGCCGTTTCCTAAACGGATGTGTTTGTGTGGGATCGTTTTCAGAGCTGGGCTTTGACCTGTGGCTCATGGAGCACTGACAGGAGAAAGTGATGGAAATAAATGTCGGACTTTCCTTTAGAAAAAAGAAAAAAAACTCTGACACTTCTTCCTAAATTAAATTGAGCCAATAACGATTGTGTTTTGATATTTAGCTCTTTTTTTACACCGTTTCACGTGTAAAAAAAATCGATTTTATTCTGAAAATAAATTATCGTATTTATTGGATTTTATCGAAAAAACAGGCCGGTAATTTTGGTTTGTTCAAATTTTGAGGAGGCTTTTTTTAGGGCCCGTGTGTGTGTGTGTGCTTGAGAGTGTGTGTATATGGTTTGTGGGCGTGTGTGTGTAATATTTTTTATTTACTTTTTTGCTGTTACACGAAAAACTATAAAAAGACACCATATATTAATATAATATATTTTATATTTATATTTAAGGAAATGCAAATAAATACAGATTTAATCAATTGACAAGATTAAAAAATATTTGAATTAAGTAGCACATAGTACATTCAGTACTGAATTGGTATTTATTAATAAAAATATTTAATATATAATATAATATTTTGCGGTTGATAAAAATGGTTTGTTGGTCATTTAATTTGAAAAAGAAAATCCCATTTATTTTTATTATCTTATTTTCTAATAACTATACTAAATATGACACAGTTCTCGCTATAAACCATATTTCCTTATATATTTCCAATATTCTATAATTAGGAGTTTTAAAATCCAAAGGAAAAACATGTTAACAATCTGTCAGTTAATCTTAATAAATCTACATTCTTAAAGAAAGAGTCTGGTCGTCAGAATCTGATTGTTGCTCTGAATATTTACCCTTCATTTATATAGATTCATCTAATTGTGATGGTGGAGGTAAATGGGTCTGAATCATATTGGCAAATTAAGGGAAAGAAATTGAAAATATAATCAATATAATATTGACCTCTTCAAAATGAAATAAAACACGTCGGCTTCATTACAGTAAAATCTAATAAGTCGGAGTGAAAAGAAACTGGATCTCACGCCGTACCAGGCACACGTTCAGTCCATTCCTAAATATTGACTCTAATGTCATGTTTTAAAATAACAAACAGATCCAAAACTGTCCACGTCAACACAGTGAGTTAGGTTTTTAGAGAATAAGGCCGTTGTTCAAGAAGATCACAAATTTACTTTAGCTGTTTACCTCCAGATCTATTAGGTGTTCCCTGCTTTTGGTCTCATGTATTCACAGACTAGGTAACATAACATAAAATAACATTTTAGTTTTAAAGGCACATCTAACAATGGCCTAAGACTTTTGCACAGTGACGTAGGCGCTGCTGGCAGAAAATGAAATTATGAACAAAAGAAAATTAAATATATATGTGTTTAAATCAAGTGTGAGTTAAATGTGTTGCTAAGAACATGTAAAAATAAAATCAACCCAACAGTGATTTTCTTATAACTCAATTTGTCCTTTTATAAAAGATTTAAGTAGAAAAACCAGCAACGGAGTTTGTGAAAAAGACAGACTTTGTTTTCGTCTTTTATTCCTGCGATGCCTTTGTTCAGCTTTTCACCACGTACTTTAGAATAGCTGACATTTTCACTAATCATATCTCTTTATCCAGTGAAAATGCTCAGCAGTAACTTCTCCAGCATCCATATCCTCCCAGGCTGCGGTTGCTTAGTAACAGAAGGAGAGATGAATTGAGACAGAATAGTCAATCAATTTCCCTCTAAGGTGTGTGTGTGTGTGTGTGTGTGTGTGTATGCACATTCCTTTTAGTTGCCTCATCCAACTGTTTTACTGACTTTTCCAGGAGCAGTCTTCTGATGGGAACTAAAACATTTTCTTCTTATGGTTGGTTTTATAGTTAAGCTTAACTACAAAGCTGGACGTTAGTCCTGGTGATTTGACACAGACGTGAGGTGTAAGGTTCTGGGCAGTCCTTAGGAACCATTTCTGCCATCAGTACTAATATCTAAGGACCAGTAGTTAATATATGAAGCAGAAAAGAAGACTTGTTGTCAACCGGAGGTTCACTCTAAAGTTTTTGCATTTTCAAACCACACCCAGTGATGGTCAGTTTATCAGCATTGTTTCTCAGAGCTGCAGGGAAATATTTCAGGCCTGTCTCCATCATCACTTATACCTTTGTTTGTGAAAGCTATAATGAGTGATGGGACGTTTTTGTGCCTCAGGACCAAGAGTAAAACTGCAGCTGAATGTGTGATCTTAGTGCAAGCTACTGGAATGCTACTTTGGGATGCTAAAAGTAACTCTGTGAGTATTGTTACTTGCACCAATAGTCATAAAGTGGAGGATCCCGAGTATAAAACACATCTTACTGTACACATATGTTGATATCAGTGTCCAGTCCCGTATATATTGAACTAATAGAACTGAAGTTCTCGGTGTCAGAGCTGAAAGTCTGTGTTTGTACTTCAGCCGGACGGTTAAAGGTTCAATTGCATTAGTTTACAGATTAAAGGTCTTAAGAGTCTCAGGTGTTTAAGAACAGACTCCTATAGGAAATCAAATTCATTTAAAATTTGCAACATTTGGCTAAAGCTGCCTATTGGCATTTTAAAAAACTGCTCATTTGTATACAGTTCCAGGAAACAATTGGTAATGAAAGTTTGTTCTTTTTCAAAGCTAAGCCCTTATTGAGTGGTAGCTCCAGTCGTGTCTTTAAAGATTTTAGGTCAGTGTTTAAGATTTAGATTAGGATAAGGGTTAGTGCAGCAACCAACCATTGGTTTCAAATCAGACCCTTCATATTTGTAAATTTAAGGTCATCATTAAGTCAATTGATTGTTGTCGTTCAGTTGAGACCATACAAATTACGAA